TTCTCCTATTTTTTCGTAGCATATATATTAACAGATATATATATATCTATTCATATATTGTTGTATTATTGTTTTTTATGCAGAATGTACATTTGATATTAATATGGTTGATGTATGCAAATTTGAAATTGTTTTCATTTTTCATTGCACGAAAAGCATTAGGCACCACGCCTTGAAAGTAGCTGCAGCTATTATACTATACTGCTGCGCCTACCAGCGCCTGCTAGCGCCAAGGCGGTAGTAAATAAAGTCAAGCGTGTTCTATCGTCAAAATGATTTATTATAAATTTAACGCCTCGATTGTTATATTCAACAATAAAAATACCAACAATAGCAACAACGGTAACAACAGCAACAGCAACAACAACAACAGCTGCATAAATTATAAGAAACAATGGCTGTGATGACTGCGGTAGCGCCATTTTGCGCGCCTTTTTGAATAATGTGCCAGTGTAATGATTATAGAACACGGACATCCTTTAGATGCTTGCACACTTCCGTCTTACAGTTTTGCTTACATGAACAATATTTTATATATCCGCATGTTCTGCATACTCGACAGCTTAAATAGACTAAGTACCGAGTAGATACGCTTTGACTTTATTAAGTGGAATAAATATAAAATAATAATAATATATACATATATACAATATATAAACGTATATGTACATAAAAAAGCTATTAATTTTGAGCACATTCACGCATATTTCAGTTATCATTAAAATTTTATGCTTCTGCTGTCCTCATATCAAATGTTTTAAAATAGCTCAATCCGGCTTAGAACTTCGGAGTTATAAATCCAAAAGTATCTTAAAAATGTACTAAACTTTAAGATGATGTTTTAGAATAAATTTTTTATTTTTGTTTTAGTATACCCTCTTTATAATACGAGTAGTATCCAGCCAATTAATTTAAAAAAAATATATAAAAATTTAAATGATTAAAGTTGTTTCAAAGTAGCAAGTTGCATTTACTTTAATGCCTTAAGCCTCCTGTCCTCCTGTCAATTTGTTAAAAGTTTGGCGTTTAATGCCACTTATACTTTTCACTTACGCGTAATTAAATTTTTCCAACTTTCACATTTGCCAGCGAAAAGTCATAATTACAAATTCTACTAAAAGAAAAAAAGTGAAATAACATTAGTTAGAAAATTTTTAATTAAGTAGACTTTAAATACTTCTGAAATTACAAACGCCATTAAAAAATTCCACCAAATGAAATTTTTTTTATTACCTTTAATTATATGGTATCAGAATGTCGAAACAAAACTACAGAGGGGCTCTATTATGAGCACTTGTCAAAAGACTAATTCAGGGGAGTATAAAGCCAAATTTAACAGAAAAGGCCAATTATACACATTTTGTACAAAAATTAGTACTCAAGAAAATTTAATTACAATCTTCATAATATAAACAGTAAAGATTGTTTAAATAACGCAAAGAAGGAGAATCAAATTATAAAAATTTTAATAAAAACACATATATATCTAAATATCCATATAATAATTTCGACTTAATAGAAATTAACAGCAATACTAGAAGTATAAAATTAGACTGTTCTTTCACAGCAATAAGACACTTAACATAAAAGCCATATAGTATATTCACACCGTCTCATTTAGGCACTGGCTCATTTATATTAATAAGGAAACGTTCACATTATAATGAGCTGATTTATATTGCTAAAAGAACTTTTATAAACTTCACTTGATAATATATCACACAAAATAATTAAATATATAATTGATATATTCAATCATTTATACATATTTTATATATCAATCACATATTTAATTAATAAAAACAAATATTTTATTAAAAACTAACTTCCTCAATGCCTTTCTTACAGTTCAGCTGTTGTTTGTTTATATTTTACATATAAAATATATGCCAAATATTTCAAACTTTAATAATATCCCTTAGGGGAAATTTATTTTTAAGTGTTGCAGTCGACCATTTCCGCTTTAAATGAGCTGATTTATTGATAATGAGTTCATTTCTATGAAACATTTTTTTATGGTAAATCATCCTCATTAGTGATTTTAATGAACAAAACCGCTTAAAACAGACAGTTTGAATGTACTATTACCTTTATTACAGTAAAAGCTCAAAAAAAAAAAGTTAGTGAACTTATGCATGATTAAAAAGGAAGGACCTTAATTATTTTATGGGTTGCAGTTGACAGAGTATCGGTGGGCAAAAAGTACATTAACACTTGTAGCAAAATATATTATAAATATTCAGTATATTTACTGATTAGTTTACAGACTAGAGGCAACTCGTAGCTTTTTTTAAGAAAGGTCTGCAATACAGGCGGGAACTGTGTGAACATAGATTCAAAATTTTTGTGACGTAAACCTTTGTTTCATACTGTTTTTGTTGTTGTTGTTTATTGTTTTATATTTGTAATTAATCGCGTATTGAAACTATTATTTACTAAAGTAACTTAGAAAAGTATTAGAAACGTTTTTTATATATTATGCATTTTACTTTTTTGTTTTAAAAATATCAATATTTAAAACAAAGCCTGTAACGTTTTTGCACAAAATTTTAGGTTTTGTCCCTAATACTCATAGATATTATAGCAAAATTATTGTAAAAACTCTAACATTATAGCACAAACTGTTTCAGTTATCTGTCAGATCTTTTAGGTGTCTTATGGTTCGAATTTTGCTGACAACACTTGAATTATGCATGCTGACAAAAATGCTAACTCTATTTTAAGCGACAGTTGAATGTTGATAAGATAATGAGTTACTTTCGGAAATAAAGAATTGTAGTAAATCCTGAAATGACAGAGGCTATGTTCATGGTAAGACCTACAAATCAAAATTCAAGGAAAATAAAAATCAATAATGTCGTCGAACTTTTGATAGAAGATACACTTGGTGAGAGAATATCAGGGTTAAAAAGCTGACTTGTAATATAACTCTTAATGCTCAATTAACACAAGAAAAGCTGTCAATGGCAAAAACAACAGTGATCCAAACCACTAGGAAGACATACTGCCAAAATCAACAGATAAGTGGGAAATAGAAACTAAAAAGGCCGACAATGTAGAAATACCATCAAAGAAACGTGCGGAAGGAAAAAGCTTAAGGACCAAGTGCATAGCGCAGAGCGCCTGCTGGTGCAGTGTTTCTTGAAGTCGCAGAAGGCGAAAAGAAAGTGGAGTTTTTCGAATTCATAAAAAATCGCTGAAAGAAATAGTGACGATAAAAGACCTAAGGCCACAAACCACGATTGAGATCCGTGACTTGGATGAAGAAAAAGAGGCTATTGCATCTATCCGATTAACAACCCAAGACCCAACAGCATAAAAGAAACTACACGTCACCAAAACGATAGCGAACAGCAGAGAACAACGCCGCAGAGAATACTTTTATCAAAATGGCAATGATTGACGTAAATAGCATATTAGAAAAGTCCCGCGTAAAAATAAGCAAAGTTACAAATCGACGTGAAACGTTGATGTCGGCCATGTATTGGCCATGTACAAGCGATCGTACTGATAGAAAAGGACAAGGATTGTGCCTTCAATGTGGTCAGAATGAGCGCAAGTAAAAATAATGCACAAAATTTCCGAAATACTGGCTATGGCTAAATGAAGGATTTACAGCAACAAATCACATTCCTGGTCCAACTAGATGCCCGTCAAACAAAAAAACATCCTCTAAATAAAAATACTTCAAGCAAATATGCACAGAAGAAGCTGACACTCTTCTAGCGCAAATAATTATAGATCGCAGAATATTAATAATAATAATAATAAGCGACCAGTATAGAAAAAAAGAGAGCATGCTAACGCATGGGAAGATGTTACATGAGAGCTAGACCTAGAAATGAAAGAAGCTTAGACATGAATAATGCTTTTAATAGTTCGACATACATGCGCTAGAAAATCGCTTCCATGTACCCATTTATAGAAGAAGATTATTTAAAAGTTAGTTAACAAACCTACAATTAATCTATTCCACAAAAAATTGATTAAAAACGGTACAAATAACGGCTTGAGCATCACGAGATTCAATCTTAGGGCCTGAAATATGCA